TACCCTGACAATGTTTCAATGGTTAATGGACCAGCTTTTGATAAACTATATTGAAAAACATACTTTACTTGCTCTGATATAGAATATTTATATAGTATGGCTATTTTATTTATAGCAACATCCAATTTTGGATATATATAGATATATTATGTAATTAATTATGTCATCATTACTATATAATAGATCAATCACTTGTTTATATTGTTTAGGCCATTTTATTTTGACAACCGTTCGCGCTAAAATTCTCATCTTAATGGAATGTTTTATATTATCCCTTTCATCATGTCTGATAACTCTGACATGACCCTGTATGACACAACACAATTTGAAAACAACTTATCAAATGTATTCGATAGTAACCAAAATAATATATTCGACAGTAAAGCATGGACACCTTTAGGCGAAATGCTCAAGTTTCCTACCAAGATACATAAAGAAAACATATTATCTAAAGGGAACTGGTCTACCATCCTTAGGGTACAATCTCATAATGCACATATTAAATATGAAGCCCCTGCTATGGACAAACGAATATGGAAACTTATGTTAACTTAAGCTAAAGAAACAAACAGACTACTTTCAGGCCTTGCTTACCATTTGTCCTTAACTCTACATTCTTTGGATAATGGCCTCCAAATACTTTATAATTCCAAGCCAGATAAATCAAATAATGGATTTGAAACCTGGCAATTTATTGAAGTAAAACTTAAGAATACCAGAACAATTTATTGGATTCCTTATTTTACATCAATAAGTTATAAAACAGCAATCACTTAAAGTTATTTCATCACAATATACTTATCCTATAGAAATAAAAGAAGTATTTGGAGACAAGCTTAAAGATATTAATAGTCAAGAAAATGAAACAAATAATTTCCTTATTAGAGCATCAAATAACAGAAGCAAACTTAATAAAAAACACACAAATTTTCATTCATTACAATTTAATAATAATAACTCTAAATCCTTTCCTTCCCATAAGAACAAATTTTGGTCACATTCTAAATTATACAATCAGGGAAACAGATATTGCAGTGGTCACAAAAACAATACAAGTGGCCGCTCAAATACTTACAACAATTCAAACACGTCTTCTGAGCAAAACTGAACAAAAACACAATTGAAGAATGACTAATACCCCATATAAACTAATGTTCAAGCCTCAAGAGCTCCTTTTGGCAAACTCAACTTATAAAAGAAGGATATACTCCCGAATAGTCAACTTTACTATCACTTGGTATATATCTTTTAGATTCTTATTCTCAGTCCACTCCTGAGGTAACATGCGAGATTTAAAAACTTATTAACAAAAGTGTTATAAAGGAGGTCAATCCAAATATTCTATGTTTTTGTTCAAAAATTTTTACTATACCCAAGAAAGATGGTTTTGCTTGTTTAATAATAGATTTAATAAAGCTAAATTCTTATATCAGATTTATTCATTTCAAGATGAAAACTATAGATACTGTAAAATCATTAATTCAACAAAACAACTACATGACATTAATAGATATTCAGAATGCATTTTATCATATTTCATTATTTTCACAGGTATAGCATTTTTTCTCTTTCAATTATGATAAACATTGTTATCAATTTATTGTACTTCCATTCAGTTTAACAAGCAGTCTGAGAATCTTTACAAAGATGTTGAAACCTGTAATAGCTTGGGCAAGGAATCAGAGTATCAAACTAATGGTGTACTTGAACAATCTATTAATTCTAGCTTCTTTCAAGATCAAAGCTCTTCACCACATCTCAATAGTACAATAAATATTAAAACATCTGGGTTTCAAAATCAATTTGCAAAAAATCCAAACTCACTCCAACCTAATCAATCAAGTATCTGGAATTCACTATAAATTTGAAAAAAAATATTTTTTTGTCTATTCAAAAAAGAAAATCAACAAAATAAAAAGAGAATGTTCAATGATGATAAAACTAAAAACAATTTATATAAGAAAACTCAATATTATAATTGAAAAGCTCTTAGTAACAACTGGAGCAATTTTTTCTGCAAGATTAAAGACTTGCACATTAATAAGAGACAAAAATTGAACTTTCAAAAAGAAAGGCTAGAATTCATACCTGACACTATCCCCACAGAGCATATAACAATTATAGTAATGAATAATCAATCTAAACCATGGAACAGTTCATGTATAATTTCAACATTATCAACAATAACAATTTTTACAGATACCTCTCGAATAGGATAGGGAGCCATGATGAATTAAATGATAATACAAGGTCAGTGGACCAACAAGCAATAAACATTACATATCAATTTTCTAGAACTGAAGACAGTTCATTACACTTTATTGGGATTCAAGGAAATTTGCAATCAAACAGTTATGATAAAATTGGACAACATAACAACAGTAGCATATTTAAATTACTAAGGTGGAACCACATCACAGAAATTAAGCAATTTAGCGGAGGCAATTAGAAATCTTTGCCTAACTCGAGAAATCAAGATAATTGCTTAACATGTTCCAGAAAAATACAATGTTCAAGCAGATTACACATCCAGACACAAAATTGAACAACAAGATTGGCAACTAAATCCACAGATTTTTACTTATCTAGCTTCCAAATGGGATGTATTAATGATAGATCTCTTTGCCAACAATTGGAATATTCTATTATCAAGATATTATGCAAGATACCCAGATCTATTTGTACTTGGAACCAATGCAATAAAACATAACTGGTTACAAGAACATGTATAGGTGAATCCACCTTGAATATTAATACCTTGTATTCTGATGAAGTAATCAAGAATCAAACTTCAATATGTCTAATAATTCCATATTGGAAAATGACATCTTGGTTTCCACTTCTGCTGAGCCTATTAATCGACTTTTCAATACTTTTTCTGACACATTATCTGATGAATCTGAGTCTAATGAACTTACAAAATCCTCTACACAATCCAAAATGGAAACTATTTGCTTGTCTAGTATCTGGACAAGAATTCAAATAAAGAATTTTCCAGAGGAAGTTATTGAAACAATTCAGAATGCTACAAATAAATATTTGGACAATACTGTGGATTCATCAATCAACAAATGGAATCTTTAATATAATATGCAGAATCTGGATTCTCTTCGATGTCCTATAATTAAAATTATTGAATTTTTAAATAAAATAGTTAAGCAACAAAAGGCATACAATACTATTGCTTCTTATCAGTCAGCAATTAGTGAAATTCATGTTTCGATTAATGGTTATCAAATTGGTAAATATCCAGATATTGCAAAATTCAAGATAGCTATTTGTAAATTGAATCCACCTCCTACCTTATCAGACGATGCAATTGATATTATCCCTTTAATAAATTATATTTCTAGTTTAGGCAACAATGATAAAATGACTCTTTTGGACTTATCTTGTAAGACAACATTTTTGATTGCACTATATACTGCTTCTAGACCCAGTGATCTCCATCACATTAGAATATCATCTCTTCAAAGATCACAATCTGGAATCTCTTTTGAAATTGATCACTTCAATGAGATTAACATATCCATTGCACATGGTGAAAATAAATATAGAATCAAGAAAATTTTCATCAATTATTATAAAGATCTTGATTTATGTCCTGCATTAGCCATCTTAAAACTTATTGAAAGAACAATACCATGAAGAAACAACCAAGATTGGTGTGAATCATTGCTTTTAACGACTACTATTCCTCACAAACAAGCTATAGTTGATACAATATCAAGATGGCTCAAACATATCTTAATGCAATCAGATTCTAGAGCCAAGGCTAAAGATATTAGATTAATTTTGGTCTTCCTAGCTCAAGATGCAGGTACTGAAATGTCTATTATTATAGCACTAGAAAATTGGGCATGCTATACAGTTTATCAGAAATTCTATCAATGAGGAATTAAAAGAATGTTAAAGAAAAATAGGACTTCATTACTTATACTCAATTAAGCACAATTGTCGCAATAGCATATACTCTAAAGACTAAATTAATATTCTATATCGGAGTGAGTAAAGTATATTTTAACTAATGGTCGAATGTTAGTGAAGATCATATGGAAATGTATGAATGAGTATAGATATAGAATATCATATGACACTCACCCTTATATATAGAGTATTAGTCTCTCCTAATCACTCAAAATTTCATGGTCTAAACAATCTAAACAAATGATTGATCTATTATATAGTAATGATGACATAATTAGTTATACAATATATCTGTATATCTTCAAATGGAATGCTGCTATAAATAAAATAGCTGTACTACATTGATATTCTATATCTATGCTTGTTTATATATTTTCCAATAATCTTCACTAACGTTCGACCATTGGTTAAAATTTATAGCATTATATTTGGATGCTATAATAGTTTTTTTTAGTGTATTTAGAGATCATTGTGATTACTTAAATTTAGTTTTTGCAATATTTTGAGATACAGAATTGAAGTTAAACCTAGATAAATATTTTTTTTAAGCAAGAAATCAAGTTTTTAGATTATATAATTAATAGCAAAGTGATTAAGCCAGATAAGACTAAAGTGGAAAAAATTGGAAATTTTCAAGCACCACAGAATCTTTGACAATTGTGAAGTTTTGTAGACTTAATATCTTATTACCAGAAGTTTATCCAATGATTTGCGCTGATCACTCGACTGTTATATCAGTTGACAAAAAAGCATATAAAGTTTAAATGAAGAAAAGAACAAGAATGATCATTTGCAATACTAAAGCAACACCTGACAATAGCACCCATACTATGATATCCTGACTTTGGCAAAACTTTTTATATTCACATCAATGCATCAGAAATTGGGCTTGGTGCTGTGTTAGCATAGAAAGATAACTTTGATAGGGAATATGTCATTGTGTATACCATTAGAGGACTTACAAAATACAAATGAAACTATACAGCTATAGAGTTAAAGTGTTTAGTCATGTTATAGGTGGTGGAACACTTCTATTATTACCATGGAATGAATTCATTTGTAGTGATTACTGATTATAGTGCATTGCAATGGCTAAGGACATCAAAGCTAACAGGAAGGAGAGCAAGGTGGATCTTACGACTCCAATCTATAACTTTAATGTCAAGCATTGGAAAGGAAAGGAGCATAGCAATACTGATACATTGTCTCAGCTCTAATATTGAAAAAAAAAAGAGAAGGGAAAAAAGGGTGAGAACTGAGAAAAGCGAGAAGGTGAAAAAAAAAGGGGGAGGGAAGTGAAGAGAAGGGAGATATTGAAAACAAACATTTATTTTTCTAATTTATGTTTTTATTAACTTTTCTTTTTGTGTTTATATGCATATATGCTAGTAACAATATATGAAGACTATTATATGCATCTAGTAGAATTTGAAAACGCGGAAATTGCCAAGCACACTCGACGCACGAGAAAAACAAAGGATACGGAAGAATAGCAAATTCTTTGCATTTAGAAATGGAATTTTATATTGGAAAAATTGTAATAGAAATTAATTACTACAAGTTATATGTCAATAAGAAGTGGAGCTGATTTTATTCATGATGCATCACCATCCCTTGGGAAGTTATTTTAATCGGAACATAATGTTTGAGAAGATCCATAATGTATATTATTGGCCTAAGGTGTACACTGATATTGAAGCTTATGTATAACGATGCGACAAGTGTCAATGAATAGAGAAAGCACTAGTACCCAGACCATTATGTCCCTTACTTGTGACTGCGCCATTTTATCAAATTGGAGTTGATTTTGTAGGACCCCTACCACAGACACCAAGACTACAGTGATATATCATCGTAGCCATGGATTACATGACTAAGTGGCCTGAGGCATGAGCGGTAAAAAGAGCAGTTGCTGAAACGGTAGCTGATTTTCTGTACAATGATATCATTTGTAGGCATAGATGTCCAACCAAGATTATAACGGACAGAGGCATGCATTTCAATAATAATGTGGTGAAGGAGATAACATGAAAACTTGACATGAAATACAGTATAATATACAAAGTTATCTGATATAATATTCATGAATGTAACATTATTTCAGTAGATTACTATTCTTTTTTTATCTAATAAAATAAAAGGTTTAATATGTAGTAACTACGTTTAAAAAAAATTTCGATTTTTTCGAAAACCTCCGTGTATCAGTTTTTATTTACCGAGTAGACAGGGACCCAGAAAATTTTTGATGACCATAACTACTTTCAATTAACGCTTCGACCATCAACATATTGTAACGGTGGTCGGCGAGTCTGTTGCTAAGGAAAGTTCAGATTCGCGTAACGGTGGTAAGTGTTTTATTTATGGTGAGGCGGAATTGATATTGGCTGAAAAACTTTACTAACTGGGCTTGATTATTCTTCCTTTATTCGATTTCTTCCTTCTTTTATACATTCTTACACACTTATTACATAATAAAAATGATAAATACAAATTAAGAAAAACTATCAAAAACTCTCATGACAAAGTAATCGCTATTTGATTTTCACGTTACAGTACTCTTATTACATAATTCTATTGTTCGATCCCATAGTGCCATGATCGATCCTTGCACGACCCAGTCACGTGGCAATCGTTGCGATTGTGTCGTGATCCGACTTCCTTCTAACAGTTCCCATCTTCTCAGGTTCGAGTTAGTTTCTATCACGCTCATTGAGCTTGATACCGCTGTTTTCTTTCCTTTATCGTGGGGAACTCAGAATTCAGTGTGAGGTGCGTTACCTTTTCCCATGTTACAATATACAGTATAGACTATTTGTACACAGTTTCTTTTATCGAGAGTTGACTGTATTTTGTTTTTATATCTAATTTACATTCTATATATTCTTGGAGAGTGATTGGTTGTGGATTAAGCTATAGTGCTGCATTCTAATTGTGGTTTCTTTCTTTCTATAATATGTTTGTTGTTTTGTCTTGTAGCAATATATTTGATCTTTTTTTTAAAGTTGTGTATTTTAATGTTTGTTCTTAAATAAATACTCGATTTTTTACTGTTGAGTTTTCTGAACCAATTGAATTTTCTTCTGTTTGATTATTTGTTGACGTGTGCCCAAGAAACTAGTCTTGTTCTTTTAAAATTTGCGAGGCGATTTATAAAGAAAATTATATTTTTAAAGTTATTTTTGATGTATGTTGTGTCTTGTTGACTCCATAGTTTCTTCTATAGTTGTATCTGTTTTTTCCCATTATGTATAAGGTATTTTATTTGCCTGTAAAACTATATTGTCGTCTAATTAACATTATTATGTCGTATGTTAAGTCTTGTCCTGCCGGTAAAAAAGGAGTAATAAATTTGTGAAATCTTGAACATTGCTTCCCTTTATTTTTTGATAGAATTGTGAAATTAATGCCGACAGAATATTGTGAATAAGTAGCATATTGAGAAAAAATTTTTTTATATTTCATTGAAAAATAATTAAATCGATCGAAAATATTTTGTGATTAGAGCTATAAGCTTACGGCTCTAGTTTTCATAATCTGGAAATTTCGATAAAAAACAATCCGTGCCTCAGTAGGATGAGGCACCAACGCTGTACTATCGTTATACGGGGAAAACCTTCAACGCCATTTAAAGTTAGAACAAATCTCTGACCAATAACATGCGTACAATATGTATAGATTTAATGTTTCGATAATGCAATATTTACACTAACGAGGGGTACTTCGTGTCACTAAACATTATGTATTTTACTAAAAAATAACGTACATCCGAGAAAGGAACTTAAGACGTACTGTATGTTTGCAAATATTGATGGCATCTTTTTTCAAGGGGAACCTTTTCGAAGACCAATTAAGTAAATTCCTTACAATATTTTCTCTGATTAACAACCAAAGAACTCGTATAATGGAATGATGAAATTTATTTCAATATATAAACAGCAGTAATTCTCACAATCAAACTTTAATGACCGCTAAAAATTATCAAATTACAATTAAGGTTTGCTTTCGTTAAAGAATTATACCATCAAACAACTAATATTAAAAAAATGTAACAGAAATAACAATTAACAAAATTATTAGACTTAAAGCAGGTTTGATGTGAGGTGCTGATGCCTTTAAGCCAGTTGTAGTGGCTAAAAAAATGATATTAATAATTAATTCACTTCATAACAAATTTTTATGTCATAATTATTTCCCGAAACATACCTGTTACAGAAGTGGTACTCGATGTGGACGTACTTGTAGAAGATGTACTTGTAGAGGTCGTACTCGTCGTAGAAGTTGTATCCATCTTAGAAGTCGTACTTGTCGCGGAAGTTTTTGTCAAAGTTGCAGCTCGTGATGAAGCGGGAGTTGAACTTATAGGGGAGTTTCCGACAACTGTAGTAGAGGGACCGATAAGTGTGTATCCAGAAGGAATTTCGCTAGGGTCAATACTATCAAAGCTATAACTAGAAAACACTATAGTGGAAGTGCCGCCTTCAAGAGTATAAAAAACTATTTAGAGAAAAGACGAAATGGGTAATTGTTAGATAAAATTTATTAATCATATAATAATATTATATTTTAAAGATACTGTACCATAGGGCTGATTCCCAGTAACAGTAGTGGAGGGGCCATAGATTACAGCTCCGGAAGGAATCTCACTGGCGGGCGGGGGTGTACCGGTAGTAGTAACTACAAAAGTAGTATCGGGATATGCAACAGTATAGGTAGCTAAGTTTCAAGAAGTAAAGAATACGAAAGTTAAACTAGAGAATAACATCAATTATACAAAAATAAAAGAAACATAGTTTATATATATATACCTCCATTCGCCTCGAACGCTAAAAATCCAATGAGAAGAGAAATAAAAATGAATACCCGAACGTTTAGACAAGTCATTATGATGGATGCTATTATGCGTAAAGCACAAGAATTGTGTGTAAAACTTCTACCGTCTTTTTTATAGATATAGTGTTGGCGTACAATTTTCTCTTTTAGCATTTTATTTGTTACTCTAATGAAAACTCATTTGAACATATATAGTAAAATAAAGGTTATTATCGAGTATGGCAATGGCATACTGTATATAGTATATTATTTGCAAATTGGGAGTGCTTATACCCTTTTGTCACGCAAAATCAACAATGTAATATAAATTATATTATAAATGGTAGTCTCAAAAGTTTAAACATACTATGTTGTTTATTATTAATCAATAAAATTAAAATTATATTTTAATAAAAATGTGTTCTAATTTTTTAAGGTGATACTTGTGTATTGTTATTAAGAGTAAATGTCAAAATATTTTTATTTTATTAATAAAATGAAATTTAATTATTATACTATTATTATATTTAAATAAATTAATGGTTTTCTTTTTTTTTAGATTATAAAAGGCATTATATGCAAAACTTTATTGTATATGTATGATACTTTAATTACATTAAACATTTTTACAAAATATGATTTGTAAATTAATGTTAATCTATCTATAATATTGTTATCTGCATCTGCAAATTTATTACCAACCTAAATCAATACTTGCTTTCTATTATTATATAGAAATTATACTGTTTGCAATACCAAAGATACTTATGAGAATAATAATTATTTAACTTTTTTCATTTTGTTTGTCCTTGTAACTTAATCTTTTATTAATAAATATGATATTAATTATTATTAGATTCTTTAGGTAACAAGTATTTCAATAATTTAAATTTATTAATTGTACTACAAATATAATTTGCTACAAGATTTTTATTAATTTGATTTTCTTATTAACTATACTATTATATTTTTATTTATATTGTTACGCTTGATCTTTGCCCAAGATCATCACTACCTCTTGCCCGATTTTCACTAGCATTTACCCTTAAAATGTTACTTATTCTAGAATAATTCTTGTATTACTATTCTTGTTATTGTTTAGCACTGTACTTTTCGTGCTAATGTTGCTCTAGAAT